GCTGCGGCTCCCCCAGGTCCGTGGCTTTAGCTGCGCCTTCCGGTTGACGCCGGAGAAGTGGCCCCCTGCCTCCAGGACGCTGCGGACCACCGCCAGCGCCGAGCGCGTCTCCGCCGCCACCAAGTCGACCTCAGCGGCCGCCGTCGACACCACCTCAGCGGCGGCGGCTGCGGCCCCGCTACTGCCAGCACCCTCGCACCCTGCTACAGCCGCCATGGGGTACGATGGCAGCATCACGGCGCCTACGTCACCGCTACCACTGCCACTGCCCTCCCCTGCCGCCGCGATGGTGGCAGTAGAGGCTGTAGAGGCTGTAGTCGCTTCTGGCCGCTGTAGCAGTCGGCGTGTGACATCCAGGAGTTCCTGAGGCCCCGCCACCACCACCCGGGGTATTGTTGGGGGGGGAACCGCCGGGGTAGGAGGGGGGGTGGCGGGATTACTGCGATGTAGATTGCCTACTCATTAATCAATTAGCGGCGCGTTACCTGGTCAATCGTACCACCACCACCATTTGCTGTTACACGGCTCGCTCCTCAATTGAATAACATCTAGGCATTGGTAATGGTATGACGGATGGCAGGATGGAACGGCAGACAGACAGACAATCGAGATGGACCGACCTGCAGCTGTGATGCGCTCTTGAGCTTCGCCTGACGGCCCAGGCCCGGTCGCTTGCCGGGATCCGCGTAGCGTTCGTACAGCTCCAGGAAGGCGGGCTGCAAGTCGTGATACAGGTACAGTTTTGGATTCGGGGCGGCGCATAAACATGTTTTAACGTCCGTTGGAATTCCTGCCGAGTTACGCCGAAGTAGTCCGATTGCGTCGACCGACAGAAAGGGGTTTGCAAGAGCGCTGTTAAGCCTCCTCCGCAAGGGGACACGATCACAGGACGGCGCCCCCGTCTGATCAGACGAGCAGGACTTATTACTGGGCTGTCCACAAGGGCAGCGCTGCACGTCGCGGGTTTGCCTCCGAAACCAATAAAAGCGCGCGCCAGCACACACATGTATGACTCTATGGCCGATACTTTGCAGAAAGCCTCCAGCCGTGCACTGCCTTGCAGGTTCAGCTCTGTACTCACGTGATTTACGACAACCTTGACTTTTTGCTTGGGTGTACGGTCACCGTGCCGTATCACCGCCAGCACGCAGCGCAGCTCCTCGCCCGGTCGCCCCCAACCCGCGGCAGCAGCGGCCGCAGCGGCCGCCGGAGTGAGGGGGGGTGAGCAGGGGCTGGCGGGGCCGCCGTCCAGCGACCCTAACCTCGCCGCCGCCGCCGCCGCCGCCGCCATTGTCGGGATGAACGTATCCTGCGGGGTGGGTAGTGCCAGTCCTTGATGCCACCAGGCTTTCCCGTCATGCCATCACCACGTCGATTTGCCGGTCGCTAGCCATGATGCCCCCGTGCCCACAGCACCAACAACACAACAGGCCCGGAGGAGGTTTCCCATTCACCGACATCACTTATGTTCCCCCACACGGCCCACACGGGTGCGATGTGATGTAAGTGAGCATGCAGGGGCTCGGCAGGATCCACGTACCGCCGTACCACAATGTACGGCACTGCGCGACCAGCTTTCCATGTTTCCATGCTAGAGCGCCCCTACCGCACCTGCCGTAGCAGCCCCTCGGGGCCCGCCAGTGAACTACAGCACCCCGTCGCCGCTACGGCCGCTGCTGCCGCCGCCGCGGCCTCTGCCGCCGCCAGCGCTTGCTGCGATTCACGCATCAGCCTGCGAAGCGGCAAGGCAGTATAAAGTAAACCACAGTTGCTAATTGTTTTCCTTGTGGTTATCATCTGAGGCTGACCCGTGGGTCGGTTGGAGCAATGAGTGATGATGCCCTAGATAGATAGAGGTTAGGTAAGGTGGGTGACAAGGTGGGGGGAGCCGTGTGTACCTGAGGTCTTCGGGGGCTGCAGCAGCGCCTGTATAGGCACCTGCAGGTTCACCACCAGTATCAGCTACCTGCCACCACTGCCACCTAGCCAGCTATCTATCTGCCGCACTTTCCCTTCCCCCCCTCCCTCCCTTCCCCCCCGCCCCCACACCACCCACACACCCCACCCACCCGAATGTAGGCGCAGGCGGCAGTGCGGGCACCAGGTGCAGCCGGTGGGGCGCCAGGGCCTGCAGGATGATACTGACATACATACAGCAATTGCAGGGGAGGAGGAGGACGGCGGCGGCAGTGAAGGACAAGGGGTGGAAGGGGAGGGGGTTAAGGAACTCCCCTGCCCCCCCTACCACTGCACTGCACCCGGGAGGTCGCCATGCGGTTGGGTGGTGGTGACGGGGAGGGTAGTGGCGGGTATCCGGGGAATGGATGGATGGATGGACTCGCCCGACGGGAGTTGCTTCCCTCACTCCCCCCCTGTTCTGTCCCCCCCTCAGCGTCCCGGCCCCCACTCGTGCCGTACCTCCTCAGTATGTCAGCCGCATCCCCGAAGAACTTGGCAGAGCTCTTCACGAATGACCAGCCGTTGACATCGCACACATAGCTGCCACCTCGCTCACTTGAAGTCCGAGAGGGAGGGTAGAGGGAGGGAGAGGCGGGGGAGAGGGATGTTAAAGCGGGGGGTAAGACGAACCAATGACGATTGAAGCAGATACCAGACATACAGACACATACTGCAGGAACCTTGCATACAGAGTTACTGACCAGTGGTGACGTGGGTAGCAGAAATCGCAGTGGTGGTAAGAACTAAGGCCGGAGGCGGACAACAGGAACAGCTGACGGGAGGTGTATGCCGACCGACCTGGACGGCGGCGAGAGTACCAGCAACCAGTAACCGCATCTTTGCCGACTTCATGCTGACACGCTGCTTGCTGACGTGCACGTGCTCCTCCCAGCCCCCCAGCCAACACGCCCATGACCCGAGTCCAACACATCCAATGCAGTGGAGGGGGTGTTACAGCATTGGAGCTTTTCAGTGGGGAGCCCCGGCCGCCCGCACGCTTCTCCCCCCGCCTCCCCCCCCACACTCACCTCCTCAACAGGTCAAACCCGCACACTTTCTGACCGAACGCCAAACACACCATCCGCGCAATCTCCTTCTCCTGAGGGCTCAGGAGGACCGGGAACCGCACCTGGCGCCGTACAGCAGGCGGGCGGGTTAGGAACTGAATGAGGTTCGGCAGCCGCAGTAACGGAGTCAGGAGGTGGACGTACATACATGCGCACATGCAGGTCAGCTGGGCCCTCTGGTGACGAGGGACCCCCTAAAGATAGGATACGGGAGAGTAGTGTACGGCCAGTACGGCACTCAAGGATGTGAATAACACGCGGGATATACACAGCCGACCCGCCGACCCACCGACCTTCCTTCCCCCTGGCTGTGTTCTCTCACCTCCTTCCCATCCGCCGTTCGCGCCACCCTCCCGTCCACCACCGGGCTCTTACGGGCCTCCGCATGCGCGTAGCGGGGGCCCACCGTGTACACCTTGACATCCGTTCCACCTGAGGGGGGGGGATCCTTGTGATGTTTGTATGTATGTTTGTACGTTATGTATGCCTGCAAGTAAATGCCCTCACTCACATCGTCAAGGCCCCCATAACAAACAGCAGTTTCCAAATCCACCAAGCAGTGCCAACCAAAAGCCACATACATGCAGGTGCATGTCACGAGAATGCGGGTGTGGGCAAGCGAGGGGTGGAGGGGGGGCCAACAGTGTGGGCTACCTAGGGTTTAGGACTCTTGGGGATCAAGGCGTTGAGCAGCAGCGGTTTGTTGCAACATTAGGGCTGCATGAACAACGAAATAAACCAAGAGTGGGACCAGGAGGCTGAAGGGGATGTTGCCCATACCGGTGGCTAGAAATTCTTCGTAAATGTACGACCCGTCCCGTCGTACAGCTCCACTGTGCCCCGGGTCGTAGTTCCCGCTCCTGTCCGCCACCTTCCTGAAGAGCCTCTTTACACCGCCCCCCTGTGGGGTGGACAGGGTGCGGGGAAGGGGGAGATGAGGGGGAAATGAGGGGGTTGCGGGTAGAGCAAGGTGGGGCGAAGGAAGGGATCTTGTGATGTGAGAATACAGGAGAGTTGGACCAACTGCCCCTCGGGTTGTTCAGGATGGCACGAGGGAGCGGGTTGTACCCCATGTACAGGACAGTGTACCGACAGACAGACAGACAGACAGACAGACAAGTGGATTCAATTCGGAATTGGATCCTTTTCAAACATCCCACCACCCCACCCCACCCACTTGCTGACTGTGCCCCAAAGTTCCCCAACCCCCGTCAAGCCCCGGTCGGCAGCAGACCAGCAACCATAGGCAGTGTGCATGGGGGTGGCTCGCCCTCTCTACGCCTCTCTCAGCCACCCCTCCCTCACCTCCCCCTCCCTGCCCTCCCCCTCCCCTTCCCTCCTTACCATGGACGTGGGGTAGTAGACCCAGATGTTGTGGTCCTCACCACTGGCGGGCTTCTCCACAAAGGGCTTGGAGATGCGCTCACCGTCCAGCTGCGCGGGGGCGGGGAGAGGGTCAGGAGGGACGCGGGATGCCCTCAGAGCACCGAGCGGGAGGATGTGAATGGGGCCGTGTACAGGCTTGGTTCGTTTCCAGAACCGTTTCGCGTGATTCGTACGGGTGAATGTACGGAAGAATGTCTCCACCAACACGTCCACACAGAATAACAAATCGGAATCAACAAGCAATCCGCGTATTTGGGTACCCCAATGCTCACCTCGATGTACTCGTCTCCCTCCACAAAGCCCGGAGGTGAAGTCCCCGGTTCGAGACCCTCCCGGTTCACCACAATGTGCCGGGGAACTGGAATACTGCTGTCCTGTAGGTATGAAGGGGGTGTGAAGGGGGTTATCAAGTGACGATGTAACAACCGGGGGGGAGATGCGGGTAGGTGTGTATCAGGTTGCTGAAGACGGGGACCTGATGATGCTGGCAGCGCGCCTTAGTGCGCATGTATATCTGCCGTACTGTACGTCTATAGGACGTATCCAGTACATAAATATACACCTGGACACCGAGATGGTTCCAGCAACCGCCAGGGATGTCGACTTAGCTGTCCCCGGAGCCCCGGAGCGCCCCCAAGTGGAAGTGACCTTCACATACACATCATTGGTCGGTGGGGGGTCATTCCAGACCACCCAGACCGTCATCATGCAAAAACACCCACTTTGCCAGTCCGGATGCGAGGGGGGGTCCGCACCTGCCTCCCGCACCTGCCTCCCGCACCTACCTCCCGCACCTACCTGCAGCAGTCGGTACACCTTGCGTCGGTCCAGCAGCACCTCCTGCGCGGCCAGGTCGTTCACACAGAAGGGCCTTACTCGCTCCACGTACTCCTGGGCCTTACGCAGGGGAAACGCCTCCGAGTACCAGCTCAGGAGGCAGTCCACCACGGGCCAGCGGTCCACGGGCTGCTGCAGGATCACCTGCAGGCGGGCAGGTGGGCAGGTGGGCAGGTGGGCAGGTGGGCAGGCGGGCAGGTGGGCAGGTGGGCAGGTGGGCAGGTGGGCAGGTGGGCAGGTGGGCAGGTGGGCAGGTGGGCAGGTGGGCAGGTGGGCAGGTGGGCAGGTGGGCAGGTGGGCAGGTGGGCAGGTGGGCAGGTGGGCAGGTGGGCAGGTGGGCAGGTGGGCAGGTGGGCAGGTGGGCAGGTGGGCAGGTGGGCAGGTGGGCAGGTGGGCAGGTGGGCAGGTGGGCAGGTGGGCAGGTGGGCAGGTTCATACACACGGGCAGGGAAAGAGGACGAGGGAGGGGAGTCATGTGATGATGTGTATGGTGCGGCTTGGCGAAGTGCGCATGTTAGGTGCTGCTAGTAATAAACATGTATGTGTAGATATGGTGCATGAAAGCGCACATCACTCCGCGCAGTAGTGCTACCTCGAGTTCCACTCCCCTGGCTACTAAGCCCACCTACCCCCACCCTTCCCCCACCAAATGCACCTCTTATCTGCCGCAAAAGGTTACATCTGTCCAACAACAACTTAATCTTCCTTCCAACGAGTCAGCCACCCGCTGTGTTATTCCCCGTTCAGCGTTATGCATCCAGCCAATATGGGAGTCCAAAGCAACAAGCTAACCATGATGCCAACCGCTAATGCACAACCACCCAGCCCGCACCTCCTCCTCGAATACCACCAACTCGAATTCGTTGCAGGTAGTTAGGCGGCTCAGGATCTCCCGCATCGGTCGGGACTTGGCCTTGCGTGCCATGGCGCACACACCCAGGCGGATGCGGGCGGGGCCACTACCCATATTGACCCCGCGGCTACCGCTACCGCCACCACCCCCACCACCGGGAGTGGTACAGCTGGGGCCCTCCTCGTCATCGCCGTCACCGTTGCAACCACTGCCGCCGCCGTTACCACCGCCCGATAGATTCAGATTCAGAGCAAGAGGCGGCCAGCTAGGAGCCTGTAGGCAGGATGGGTTCGTGCGTGGTGTATGTGGGGGGGGCGTGTGGACACACGGCGAGGGGGTTTGAACACTACCAAGGTACGAGAGCAACACATGTGCAGATCTAAGAACGCATGTACGTACGTGTTGCTTTTCGTGCGAGCTGGGCTGGTCTGGGCTGGGCAGGTTATACCCGCTTCCCTGCACTGCACCCGGTACCCGGATTCGATTCGCGATTGAGCTCAGTGTCAATGAGTACTTTTACACATAGGTCGGTAGATGGATAGGTAGATAGGGCGATAGATTGATAGATAGATAAAATAAAAAATTAGATAGATAGATAGATAGATAGATAGATAGATAGGATTCATGTTCATGAATTCATTCAGCGACGCACAGCGGCCAATTCATTATCTGGGCCGCCCTGGAGCCGTAGGTTCATCAGGCGATACTTTCAAGCATGTGGCTCAAGCAATCCTGCAGCTCACCGACTTGCTCCGGGGAAATGAACGGCGCCACGCTTGATGGGGTTGCGGCAGTTGCTGGCCACCACAACCGGCAGTGCCGCCGACACCACACCCCGGACTGGCGGCAACAGACACCTGCTGCTGGGGTGTCACCCGCACCCCCGCCGCCAACCCCGGCGGCCGCCGCAGCCCCCCGTCCGCCCCCCGCCCGGCTGCATCAGGCTCGGTCACCGGGAGCCCCTCGCCCGCCCCCAATCCCGCAGCACCACCAACAGCAGCTGCTGCCGGGGCACATGCTGGCGAGTCGTCGCCCAGCAGTATGGCAGTACTCAGATCCTGAGGTGCTGGGGCGGCCTTGGAGCCACCTGCGGTACCTCCACCTGCCGGGCGGCGGGCTGCAGCCGCCAGCCCCGCGCATGTCTCTGAAGCAGCGTGGGCTGATGAGCCTGCGGTGGCGGTGGCGGTGGCTGATGGGCCGCCCTGTGGGCCGGCACACGGATCGCTGCGGCGCGCGCTGATTAGCCGCCTCGACTGCTGCTGCTGCTGTTGTCCCTGTACCGTTTGTTGTTGTTGTTGCTGCTGTTGCAGGTCTGTTTCTAGATTTTTGTTGCCTATGTCGAAGCAAACGGCTCTGCTTTTGCGCGGCTGGCTGCCGCGAATAGAACACGGCGGAGGACCAGCTCGTGCCTCGGACCCCTCAACCGGCGGCTTATTACTATTGCTTCGCGGCTCTGGGGAAGCCATACTTCATCGCACTAATCGCGACGACATCCTTGTAAGCTTGCGGCCTGTTGCTGTCCGTGTCCGTAATGGCGGCCAAGCGGAGGAAGGGCGCCCTAGAGGTGAGAAGCGGCTGGCCGGTGGGAGGAGATCAGACCTAATCAGATAGCCGGGTGCCGGTATAGCGGCAGAAGCTGCCCCCTCTCCGGAGGTTTCTGCGTCCACCCATGTGAGCTTACTACGACTTTTCCAGGACGACGAATTTTGCAATCGTTGCGATATTGCTGCAACAACGCGGCGTAAACGTTTTGATGCTATTCGAGAAGAATGATGGCTGGACTAGCGTGTCACACACGCTGGCGCTTTTATTTACCCCTCAGGCAGGCTAAGCTTTTATTACTTTGGTGCCGTGCCTCCGATGGACGAGCCGCGGAAGAAATGACCCGTGGGTCGAGAGGAAAGGGAGATGAATCATCTGTTCACCTTGGACATTCTTCGCTTTATGACGTTTATCATTTTCCATACTTTCATTTTATTGCATGGAATCCGTTCATCCTCCATTCTTCAAATCAAATCAGGGGAGATTCAAACAGTTGATACCTCCCCATTCATTTCTAACTACCATATAACTACCATATAGCTAATGTAGCGACGTACTGTTCATGGCGCCGTTGTAGTCTGTGGCCGCTGGTCTTCTCTGGGAGGTATGCCACATACATACATACATACATACATACATACATACATACATACATACATACATACACACAAGCGTACAACGGGCGGGCAGCGGCCCTCCTCCAGGGGGCGCCTGCCCGCCTTGCGCACGTGTTCTCGCAGTCGGCACCCTCAGGGGGCTGTTCGCGATGTGGGTGTTCATGTCAGCTGCGTGCATGTGCGCTAAATAGGCTTGTCAGCTAGGAGCTGCAGACGCGGCTACGGGCTTCTAGACGGTGAGGGACATTGGGTACCCCATTGGGTTCCAGACAGAAACAGACAGTAGCGGACTGTTGCTCCCACAGGTCCCCCCCAGGTGGGTTTCCTGACAACCCCTGCACGGCACGTCAGGCGCCTCATGAGCCCACGTACGTGTCTCCCCGGGGCGAGAGGCCGCAACAGACAGAAGCGAGAGACCATCTGGGCAGTTTAAGGCCGTTTTGCAACTCTTGAGGTCACGGAATGCTCTTATGTCTAAATTGGCACTTCGCCACTCTCACCTCCACCGCAAGGAGTGAGTCTCTCGCAACCGCCAGCGTCGTCGTAAGCTCTTTTGCACGAGACCACGACCACGACCACCACCTGGTTTTCTCCCACCCAGTGCAGTCCCTTCCAGGATCGGCGCTGACACAACACCAACAAGAGCGAAAGCATGCAGGGTGAGGGTCAGCACAGTACGACAACACCGTACAGTACAGCAGCCCCACGTGTGCTGGGGAGCGCCCCCTGGAGTAATGCGCTCTCACACGCGCAAATACGCCCCCCGGGATAGCAGGGCGACCCGCACGCTCCAGAAAACCCCAAGTATTTGAAGTAGCTGTACGACAGAATTATCATGCCACGTGTCAGTACGGCTTGAAGTTGCGTGCCGCCTTCAGCTGCGCCAGGCGCCTGTAAGCGTGCGGATAAAAGGTGGGGGAGGTGGGGGCAGGTGAACGAAGCTCAGGGGAGTTATCAATGTTACGGTTTTGTTTCTGCGCGTTAGGGCAAGGCTTTATGTGTGTACGTGTGTGTGTTATGTACGTACGGCTCTCCTGTTGTTCCCAGTGCGGCATTGGGCTCCGTGCCCAGGTGGACTGGGGACCTCACCACGGCGGTGGCAGCATCCACACTCGACATCACGGTGAAGTTACACACAGTGGCCCATCACGCGGCTCGGCCCCCCCTAGGGGAGAGTGCCCCTCGGCTCCCCCTAGGGGAGAGTGCCTCGCCGGTCGTTCCCGTTGGGGTATACGGTTAGGTGCCCCTGGCCAGTGTCAGGCCCGAATCGATGTGTAACAGAAACAAACAAACAAACAAGCATACATACAGTCAGACACCCTAACACGGAACACGCCAGCATGCACACCAGCCAGCACACACCCTCCACCTCCCCGTCTACCCTTCCAAGTACAAAAGCACCGACACACCTCCCTAAACTCTTTCTCTACCTTCACATTGACAGCCCTGGAAACCGGAAAACACCAGCGGCCGCCCCGGGTCCCTTCCCCTCCTCCGTCCTCTTCCTGGGACACAAACATACATGCACACACACCTGCGGTCGTCTTCGAAGCGCTGTCTGAGCTCCACCAGTTCGTTCCTCCGTCGCTCCCGCCGCTGGAAGCGGTAGAAGTCGCCCAGCGCCGCCTTCTCGCCCTCCCGGGCGGCTGCCGCGGCTGCTGCCGCCGCCGCATTCGCCGCCACACCCCCCGTCATCATCTTGACCCCGCCCTCCTCCCGGGTGCGTTTTCGACCCTACATGCAGCAGTACATACGTGCAGTACATACACACAGGCATACATATGTATGTACATACACGTCCCGACACGACAGGTATGTAAGGCGCAGCACAGCGCCTCTCAAAATTCCAGGATCGGCCCCGACAAAGGACAGAAAAATATCTCTCGAAAGCAGGAGGGTGGATGCATCCCCACGCCGACGAACGGTGATGGAAGTGGTTGAAGCGATACCCCCCTACATCACGCACTCATACATACATACATACATACATACATGAGGGCCCACATGAGGAGGCATGGAGACAATGTGCCCACCGACAACAAGGCCGCAAACACCCACACTCCCCACCCCCCACACCCCCAAAACATTCCCCAACGACCAACCCGAAGACAAGTACGACAAGGCAAGATGTTACATGTCGTACTGACAGTACTGGCAATCAGCAACATGTGTTCCCCCGCTTAAGGGGCGCTCATGCCACCGGGACCCAGGAAAAGTAAAATTCCATTCTTACAACAATTCCCTTTGCGCCTTCTGAACCTGTGTCAAAAGATTGCCTAATTTCGCGTAAGGAATAAAGACGTAATGCTCACACATCTCCACATCGTCCTCACGGCATACTCCTCGACGTGCACGTCCTGCACGGGGTTTGCGCCCCGGGGCTGACGTGCGGCACGGGGTACGCCATCAGTGCCGTACGATGCTTCCATGAGACACACACATACACACCCCTAAATGCTCCAACCTCTCCCCCGGGCGAATCCAATTTAGGCGACAGCACAAGCCCAACCCAAACACGCCGTCCCGTACCTTAGCCCGCACCACCACCGTCCAGCCGTCCTCGCCCATGGCCGCCTGCCGCTCCCGGGCCTTACGTTCCTGCTCCGCATCAAACTCGTCCATCCAGTCGTCAATCTGGTTGGATGAGTTCCGGCGGCGGGTGGGGTCGGTTGGGGGGTTCCAGATGGGCGGTTCAGCAGTAGGTGCAATAGCAGCAACAGCGGTAGCAGTAGTAGCAGCAGCAATAGCAGCAGTAGCAGCGACATGGGTGGGCGGGAGAGCAAGGACGGCCGCTCAAGCAGGTTGGCGTCCAGAGAGCTCTCTGGCCACCAACCCGTCACGTAACTCCCTCTTCCCCCCCTCGGGGCAAGGTCGGGCCCCACGGCGGACCGAACCTGGCTTTGCAGTACATGGTTCCCCGGCCTTGCAGCCTTGTGCTCGTGTACCCAAGCTGCGGGAAGGGGGGAGAGGGAGGGAGAGGGGGAAGAGAGCGCGGATGTGTGTGTGTATGTTTGACGCATAGTCCTGTAGATTTGAGGCCCCTGCACTGGGGCCCACATTGGTGGCTTCTATTCCGCCAACCACCCCATAAGGCCCGCCCGCCACCACATGGCACTTCTCAGTACAAGGTACCTGCAGCGAGGTGGGTCACCTCTCATCACCTCGCTTGCTGACACCCATGTGCGAGACCGTCCCACGCACCCCACAGCAACGCCAGGTGACATCGACAGTTGTACCAGTCCTAACTGTCTTTGCTTGACCACCAGCCCGTGCCTGTCTGTCTGTCTGTCTGTCTGTCTGTCTGTCTGTCTGTCTGTGTGCATGAAAACCCAACTGCCTAAACCCCTAACTATTCTTGCGCCTTCATGTTGGGTGCATACCTCGCAGATGTTTCCCCCAGAGCCCCGAGCAGCGTTATTTTTTTGCGGAATATATTCCGAATTCGGAATAAAAAAATGTTCGTGGTCCTGAAAGTTAAGAATAAATAATGTTCCGGCCGCGCAAGTTCATTCCTCCAGCCAAAAATGGACTGTCCATGCCAAAGCCGGTAGAATCTCACAGGAGACATACATGTTACCCATATCATAGTACTTTAATGCCATGGATACTGTTAGGAAGCTCACGCCCGAAAGTCAACGAGGAATCGGACTGTTTCTGACCGGACTAAACGCTGCAAAACATTCGGACCCGAAGCTCCCAAAGCGTGTTAGGTAATTAAAGCAGATATAAAAAATCACTGAAGCCATTAGCGACGTTAATGAAGACGGTATAGAGGTCATAGGGAATGTGGGCGCAATGCTGCAGCCAGCCGACGACAATGACGCCACTCCGGTTGTCAACAGCGAGCGGGCCAAACATCAACGTTCGTCATACGGAGACAATCGCGATGGTCCAGGAAACATGCTGCGTTTGGCGGTTCCGGTTCATTGCTGCTATGCATCATTACTTTTGCAACCCGGAAAGTCGTGTTGTGTTATCTTTCAACGTGATGCAAGACGAACGATGGTGACCGAACTCCATTCGATCAGTGTTTGAAAGATTGTGGTGACGCGTGTTGCGGCATTCCCCACGGCGTTTGCACGAAGTAAACTGTAACTCATCGGGTGGTTCTGGGGGGGGGCGCCTTACAGATTCGGAATGCTTTTATTCCCGCGACTAAAAACCTATTCCTCCGTTCGGACTGGAAAATTCACCGGCAAAATTGAAAAGAAAAACACTGGCCCCGAGAGGTCCCCTCCTCCCGCTCCCCACCTTTCACTCCAACAGGTTCCTCCGCGTCCCCATCCTTCCCTTGTTGCCGTGCACCATCGTACACAAGGACTTGGCCCCGGGACGCGTACCTAAGCGCCGCCGCCCGACCTGCATCCGACCGAAAAACCACAATGCCGCTCCGCTGCCGTGATGCGCCGCAAATCACGTTAAAAGGGGGCAGGAAAAAGGGTGAGGTCAGGGAGCGACGCGGCGGCCTATCCTATAGCGAGCTGAGGAGGAGAAGCCCGAGTGCCGCGGGTGTGACACCCGCCGCGTTTAATCTTGTGATGTCGGGAGAGGCCTTCGCCGCACCTCCAGGGGACCTAGGCGGAGGCCTCCACAAACTTCTTTTAAGTTGCCCCTTTCCTCAATCCTACCTTGAGGGGATGTAGGACTGCCTGCGAGACAGCGCCAAAGCACTCGAAAAGCTCGCTGAGTGTTTGCTCGTCCGCTCCGAAGGGTAACCCGCTGACGAACAGCGCTGCCCCTCCCCCTTCTCCACCACCAGGCGCTTTTGGCTGCTCGTGTGCTTTGACGGCTAGGTATTGAATGAACGGGTTGCCGCTCCGGAACTTTAACCCAAGGGTATAAATTTTCTCGCCGTTCATGTGGCCGCCGACGGCGCACGGCACCTCAACACCGAATTGAAGCGTAATTCAGTGAACTATGTTAAACAGAGAGCAATGGCAGCAGAATCCTATGGCACAATTTGCTAGTGCTATGCCACTAGCGGTTGGGCAGCTAACCTGGACAGGAGAATGCAGATGTGACAAGAGATAAGCAGAGCATAATCTGGTGTACATACAATTACTGCACAGGAGGTTGGCACCCTGCGGAGATGTCAGGGCCATGTACGGAAAGCGATTGAACAAATGAGAAATTGCATTTGCTTTTGCAGATTGTTCAGCCATATAGATACATAGCTTGCCGGTCCCCATAGCCGTTCCCTGTTAGACACGATGTTGTCGACGCGCCCGGTGTCGCACACCCTGTCTGCGCGGTCCGGGAAGGCCCCCTTCACGTCGGTGCGCCCAAGCATCCGTGTGTGGCGATCATCCCATGTAACACGCGTCGCAAATGTGACCGAGGCCGTCTTTGAGGAGCAGGTCCTGAAGGTGCGAGGCCGCATACTTGGTGTTCGCGCCTGTGCCTGTTTGTCCATCTCCTTACATAGCTTGAACTGGTTATAAGCAAGAGCTAACCATGATTACCTTATATAGTTCAAGCAGGAGGAGATCATGCAAGTGGTTGTTACTTAACTGGCTATTTGCTGAAGCCACGTTGCAATATCGCAGGCTGATACTCCTGTCCTCGTGGATTTCTGGGCGGCGTGGTGTGGTCCATGCAAACTCGTGGCGCCTTTGATGGACTGGGCTGAGAAGGTGCGGATATTTTATCCCGCCCATGTGGAAGCATCACAAGAACTAACATGGATGAACGCTGTTAGAATCCTCGACTGCGTGCGCCCCTTCTTATGCTGTTTTTTTCGTTTCCAGGAATACAACGGGAAGCTAAAGGTCGTTAAGATTGAGCACGACAGCAATCCCCAGCTTATTGCCAAGTACAAGGTGAGTCTGCTGGTAGGGAATTGGGCGGGTCAGCTGCCAAACAGGGGAAGGCCGAGGCGGTGGGGCAGCCTGACGGGGCCCCATCGTATACCCTACGGCACACGCTACATGTTATGGACAGATTGAGCAAGGATAGGTTGGGGCATGTCTGGACTTGACGAGGGATTCAAACCCTTAAATCGAGGCATTCAAGGCTAAGTACAGGCGAACGGCCCTCCGTCACGTTTACTGCTGCGGCGTGGGGCGCCCTGCACCTTGCCCCTGATCTAAATTTTAACTTCGAACCGATACCCCGGCTTTAATTGGAGTGCCTCCTCGTCCCTCTCCTATCCCTTTTTCTCATCCCCCGATAAAATGCATACCCTGCACGGCAACGAAGTGCAGCACGGAACCTCCTCACAGACTCCACTTTTGCCTCTCCCGCACCGCGCTGCGCCACACCACGGCACGCCGGCATCCACACCACATCCAACCGCCGCCGCCGTTTCCATCATCACCACATCAGGTGTACGGCCTGCCGACGCTCATTGTGTTCAAGGACGGCGAGGAGATCGCGGGCAGCAAGCGGGAGGGCGCCATTACGAAGGCTCTACTGGAACAGTACCTCAGCAAGCACGGAGTCGGCAAATGAGCTAAGCAAACCGGTGTGATGTGAGCCCGCAGTGGCGCTTTTCAGTTTGGCGGCCAGCATGCAGCCCAGGTACCGGCAGCTTTTGTCCCGCGGCTGCTGCTGCTACTGCGGGTGCTACTGCTGCTGGCGAGCGGCCCCTTCCCCACGCCTTGTTGTGTGTATGTGGTCGTGGTGGGAAGAGGGCATGTGAGATTTCGGTGGTGGTGCTGCTGCTGGCTGGAGCCCGAGGGTCCCCTGCCCCCGGGAGAGGGGCCCCCGCCCTGTGGCGGTTCACCACCCGTCTTGCGGCCGCTGGAGGAGGAGCAGCCCGCTGTTCCGTCTGACAGCTAGCGGGAGGCTACAGGCTAAGTGGCGGAATACTGAACTGGATGTCAGCCTGCTGCTATTTGGCTCTCTGCGGCAGCTCGCACATGTGCGGGGTCTCCGATGTCGCGTACCTCTACATGAGTGTCTGTGTGTGTAAGGACCATTGTGATAGGAGATGGCATCTGTATGGCGGTGCGGTGCGGTGGGAAGGCAATGCCATGGCGGTCCCCGGGGCCACTCTGGGAAGCCGGGGACCTGGAGTAATGTGGGGTGAGCCGTCCAAATGCCAGGTGGTGGTTGGTTGTTATGGTTGTCGTCTATCGTGGCCCCATTGTTCATGGTCGATATTACCACTATCCATCTATCCATTATGATGGAGATGATTGTCACATCGTCATTATCATTTGGACAGCCCGGTGACCCCCGAGGGCGTGTTTAGGGTCATGATATGCCCCCCCTCCACCACCCGGCTCTCCCCTGGTGGTTTTAGGTTGCTTTAGGAAAGCAGACGGGCAGACCGACGGATGGATGGACGGGGACAGGACAAGCACCCAGGATAGTCAGGCCCAAGGCAGCTGATGTTGTGCACAGACAGACGGACAAGGAAGACGGACGGATAGGGGAGCAGAGTCCCAAAGCAGGCGGACCTTCAGGTCGTGGAGGCGGCTGCTAACCTGGAGGGGGTCGTATGGTGGCCGGCGCGGTGTCCCTGCAGTGCTCAGACAGCCCTCCTCTTTATTGTATTGCCAGTTTGGGAGAGCTCCAGGGGGACACGACCAGCCGCCCACCCCGTGGCCAGTGGGGCCCTCTCACTGCCAAATCCGCGCCCACTCCAGCTGCTGATGACCTCCACGGTGGCAGGAGGACGGGGGAGGTCCCGCTGCTACTGCAAGTGCTGTACCTGTAGCTGTAGCTCCTGTTGTTTGCTGCTGTTGCTGAGAGGCGGCCAGACAGCCCACTCAGAGGCCCGTGCGGAGGGAAGGCCACGTGGGTTTGGATGTGCACTGGTACACTGCCAAAGGAACGGTGGGCTTGTGCTGGTTGACAGCTGGTGATTGAGTCGTCCAACCAACGGCGGCCCTGCTCAGGGTCTTCTGGTTAGGGCGCAATTTCGCCCCTTGTCTTTTTGATTCTACACCTTTTTTATCAGCAGCAGTGGTCCGCTTGTGAGTGCTCCGGAGTGCTTTTTTCCTCCGGCGGACGTCGTGTCGTGTGTGAATGAGTGAGGATGCGAGGGTGGGTGAGCGAGGCGCAACAAAAGCTCTTTCATTTTGAAGAAGAGGACGAGGGTTGTGCTGCTTTCTTTTGCTCGTGTTGCTTTCGTTGCTGCTGCTGTTGTTATCGCAGGAATGAAGGACTGCGGTTTCTCGGAGGAGGGAGAAGTGGGGGCGGACCCGACAGGGCCCAGGGGTTGCCGCGCCAGGACGAGGTGCCACCATGAAACCCCAATGAACATAGAGGCCCCTACAGTGCGGACGTACGTAACGTAACGTGTCTGTGCGTCTGTTCACTATGGATGTCGCAAGTTTTTTTTTTTTTGTGTGTGTGTGTGTCTGTGTGTGTGCCCCTGCAAGGATGCCGTGGACGGTGAGGTTAAGAGTCGGCAGTTCCTAAACTGCATGCGACGTTGTGCATGCATATACCTCGTCTTGGTGCCCTCTCGAAAGATCCGCCGGTGATAAGTATGGTAGCATTATGCTGCGCCAATTTTGCGGGCGGCGCATAGGTATTGGTTTCATTGCTGATAAGGAAAAGATGGTACACGCGTGTTGGGTCGGAGGTGAGAATATGTGGTTGGGCAGCCTTGTGGAAGTGATTTCCTTGACGGCGTTACTTAGTATGTAGCGTTCCACAGCACGTGGCGTGCTGCTTTCACATGCGTTCCCGTTGAAGATTATGCGAGTGGATGTAAGCTGCATGGTTTGCCGGGACAATGATCCAGATGTATGTAAGTGGCGAAGGATGCAAACGCGTTGCGGGCGGAGAGAGAACGCTCATGAGGTTTTACATGCATTCGGTGTTGGCATTTTTGGCTTACATAACTGATAATACAGCTTCGCTGGCTGTGTGTGGGAAACTCAGAGAGAACGGAACATGCTGGCCAAAATCTACTCGGAACGTCAAGCTGTACGGCCAGCGAACGTCTTTCTATCGTGGGTCTAGTGAACCAAATCCTTGCATACGTTATGCTTGACAGCTTGCGACAAATACTGCAGCGCACATTTACTAAGTGCTTGGGCGAGCAGACGATGTCACCTTTCGCTTCATCCGCATAGGTTATTGACCTCGCACAGTCGTTTGAAGAGTCCTGATCAAACAAATCTTGAACTGGCAACCGATCGACACTGGCTGCTTGCACATTGCGTGCTTGTGAGGCTTTCCCGCTTTTTGGCCGCGACGGCCTGCTGTCGCTCCCGTCGCCGGGCAGTGGCGTGGTAAGGCCTTTCACAGACATCGCTGAATGGAAGGCAGGCATCAGGTATGTGGCAGACTCAATGCCCGCGCGCCAGCTTTGTCAGGGGTGTTAGTTCCGGTCGACCCTGCATCTCTTAAACGACGTGCAATGTCATTGCTGCACATCGGCCTGCAGAAACGGCCTAACTCTGCTGAAGCCTTTTATGAGGCGCCATCAAAGAGGCAGGCCACTGGCCATAATGTGTATAGTCAGGTGGGTCCTTTGTGTCGCATTTGGCGCGCTCTTTCCAGGTACTCATGTCCGCGTTGCGACTATGTTGACAGCAGAACAAAAATGATGCTTCATTTTCGTATCAAATTAGAGGACTGGCATACATAGCGAACTATAGAGCGTTCTTTCGCGATGCGTTCCCCTAGGCAACGGGGCACAGCACCGCTGATGACGATGAAGACTATGATCCACGACTGCACCACCATCATCACCACGATAATGGTCAAGATGACCAGGAGCAGAGCAGCTATGGGGTCGGCGACGACGATGCAGATGACGACCCCCAAAGCACATCCGAGCAGCAAACGCCGTCTCGTGTCGTCAAGAGGAAGAGCGGGCGCGCCGCAGGTTTGGAAAAAGGGAGTGTTCTGGGCTGCATGGTGGCGGTTCGGGTACCGCTTTTAGATTTCCCGGGGGGGGGACCTTACTAGCATGCTTCCGTTACCGATGTTTTCGCACATGACAACGATGTAGGCTGATGCTTCCAGTCAACAACCGAACACGTAAGCAGATTTCATACACCAAGTGCGTCAGGTGTCCGTGCATGACTGCAGCAGCAATGCTCTCGGCCGCAGTACCCCCCAACCCGCCTGGAGGGCTGTTGCATCCCCGGCGGGGAAGGGATCCGGTTTGCCCCCGGGGTTCTTCATTGCGGCATACAGGCTACAGCCCTCCAACACGTCCCCTTGCTGCTTCTCAGGACAGCACACGCACGCACGCCATCCCGCGCTTTGTGCTGTACATAGAGCCTCTCCCCTTCTGTGTGTATTGAAGCCGCATGAGCCTCTTGAAGGCCCCTCTGGTCAGCCATCATTACGTCCGCATATGCAGGGCTGCACCCATACCTGCCGTACCCCACGCACATACACGGAGTCCGGGGCATCCGATGTGGGGGAGCCCTAAGTCTCTTAGGGTTTTAGTCTCTAAGTCTGTACTGCATTTACACCCACGCTGTCTCCCTCCAAAACCACGACCCCCGCCACGCCGGCCAATCCACAGACGCCGCACACATGCCCCTTCCCCTCCCTATGCTGCGTAGGGTCCCCGGGCAGCCTCACCTCCGGTTGCCGACACGACTGCTCGCTGGGGATGCTCACGAAGAAGTTCCTCACACTGATTGATAACGCCACGGACGGCGTCCTGGACCTGAACAAAGCTGCGGAGACTCTCAAGGTGGGCGTGTGAGGAATCGGGGGGGAATTGGGGTGAATTGTCTACCGCGCGTGGGTGTTGGGGGGCTATTGCTTGGGGAGTATGCTTGTCTGCCCATAGCTTGTGTGTATCGCCCCGCTTCTCCTGCATGGGGGTTAAGGGTTGGGGCGTATCGCGTTGTCCCCGTAGAGGAGGGTGAGGGCTTGGTGCCCTTGGAAGGGGGAGGAAGGGGGTCCTGGAGGAGGGGGGCATGATGGCGAAGCGGTCGGGCCATCGCACAATCCGATGCTGTACGAGTCTGGAAAAGGTGGAGGGGTGGTGGGGCGGGTGGGCGGAGGGGAACCCGCCGGAGGCATGTGTGTGTGTTTGTGCCCACAGTGGCTCCTGTCGTGGAGCTGTGGGGGTTGGCGTTGTTGCCACTGGTGCTGTTCGTAAGAGGGCCCCCCAGTTCCCCACCCCCCACCTATCACAACCGGGTGAGACGTCCAACTGTGTCTGTGTACGTGTGTGCGGGTTTTGGTGGGCGGCGGGTGGGGCCGGTGGGCGTTCCGGTCCGGACCGGGGGATCTTGTGTGGCGGTGTACCAACATGACAGAGGGCCGGCCAACTGGTGCGACTGTTGTTGATATCCCTTCCGTCCAACCCCCCGTCATTCTACCCACTTTCTTACGCAACACATCACAACTTAACACAACACACGGGCAACGGCCCGTCTCTGCAATGAAGGTTCAGAAGCGGCGTATCTACGACATCACAAACGTGCTGGAGGGTGTGGGGCTCATCGAAAAGAAGTCCAAGAACAACATCCGGTGGAAGGGCGCCTCCACGGCGGCGGACCGGGAGACGGAGCCGGAGACCGCCAAACTGCGACAAGACATGAAGTCCCTGGAGGTGGGTTCGCAGTGGCGGGGCGCCTGGTACGGAAAGAGCCAACCCAGGTTTGCGTTTCTCTCCCCCGTCCTTCTGCTTTTGCCCTCCGGCCGAGGCCCCCCACTCCCAACCCCCTATGGCTTTAGTTATGGGTGGGGGACTGGTATCTGGGACTGTTACACCCCGTGTCGCGGAGGTCCACCGCACCCCCCGGGGGACCCGACCACTCCCCGTGTCGCCCTCAGCTGACCCTTTAGTCGTTATTCGTATCCCCCTGATTGCATACACGGCTCCCACCTCCTTTTCCCCCCATTCCCGCTCCCCGACAGGATCAGGAGCGCTCCCTGGACGACCATATCCGCATCATGACGGGCGCCATTCAGGCTCTGTCAGACAACCCCCTCAACAAGCCGCGACTGTACGTGACAGACGAAGACGTGACCAGTCTGCCTTGCTTTGCAAATGACACCATATTCGCGGTGAAGGCCCCGCCGGGCACCACACTGGAGGTTCCGGACCCGCGCGAGGCGGCCGACCCACGGGACGGTCAGATGCGGTACAGGTAGGTACCGTTACATGTGCGTCTGTGTGTATGTCTCTGCTCCGACCGACCGATCAACCCAACCGGTGTGCCTGTCGCGTGTTGCCATCCTTACTACCAGCACCATCCCGTCATATCCCCTGATATCCCTCCTGTCCCTCCTACGTCCGTCAGGATTGTGCTTCGGAGCACCCGGGGCCCCATAGACGTCTACCTGGTGCAGCACACCAACAACGGCGGTACCACCAGCCAGCAGGGGGCCGCAGCGCCCTCGGCCACGTCGGCGGAGCCCGCGGGGAGTACCGTGGGGCCCGCGGAAAGAGGGGGGGGAGGGGGTGGGGGGTCTGCGAGCGGCGCTGTGGGACCCGGGAATGGCGGGGGAGCTGCGTCGGGTGGCGGTGCCGGGGCCGCGGCGGCGGCAGCGGCGGATGCAGGAGGCAGCGGCGGATGTGGCGGCGGCATTTCCGCTCCGCCCACGGCTGTGAAGCCGGAACTGGTGCCGTCTGGCCGGAGTGCCGGTCCTGGGCTGGTTTGTGCAGGTGGGTAGCTCTTTGCACGTAATTCCCCCTCTAGGGCCCCCAAGAACGCCTACTGGTCAGTTCTGCTTCTTGTACACTCTTTCCCCACACCTCACTACCACCCACCCCTCAGCCAAGATGTTTTATTCTTCCAGGGTATGGTTCCCCCCGGGAATGAAAGGAAAGGGGGAAGAGGCATTTGCGTCCTGTCCGGCGGTCCCCGTGAAGCGCAACGGGTTATGCCATGTTGTTGTTGTTGTCCTCTTAACAGCAGCCCGACTGGCATGTGGTTCACCCGCCCGCCCCGCCGCACCCCCCGGCCATGCGTAGGTCTGGCCTCTCCCTCGTTCCCCTTCGCCCTGCCGGGCACCAGTCCCCTGTCGGCAGCCGCCGGGGCTAACGGCCCCTCGTCCTTCTTCAACAGTGTGCTGAACTCCCCCACGGGGGCGGTCGCTGTGGATCCGCTCCACATGGGGCCCCTGACCTCCCCTGGACTGGCGGGGAGAGTGTCGGGGACAGCGGGGGGAGTGGGGGAGATGGATCCCGCCACCTGGTACGACGGACCCCACGAGCCGCCTCTCATATCGACATTCTATCAGGGGGAGGACGATGACAACTTCTTCACGGCACCGCTATGACGGCACCGCTGCGATGCTCGACGGTACGGCACCCTCCGTGCCGACTTTTTCTCTCTCCGCGGCGCGCTTCGGATTATAGGGGAATGTTTTCAATGACAGAAGGTGGGTAAGACGAATCACTGGCGAGTGAAGCAGATACCAGGAATAGACGGACAGAAGGTGGGCAGAACACGACCTTTTAGAACGCGACCCGCGCTTTTGACCATGTCGAGATGTTACCCGCCAGCCACCCACTGACGCCTACCCAGCTGGGTGCGTGTGGGAATTCTTTCTTGTTCTTTTTGTTCTGTTGGCGGAGGCGGCCGATAGGTTCGTTGACGGAGGCTGTTGCGATGGGTGATGGTAGTGTTGGGTTGTGGTGGTAGCGGGCCCTGGCGATGTTGCCAATGCGGGGAAGGGGGCCGGCGGGGGCGGAGGCTGCTTCCGGGGCCGCCCTGCCCCGTGCACGCGCGGCTATCCAACCATGAGCAGAGGGAGCAGCAGCGCGCGCTTTTTGGAGTGTTTCCTTGTTGGCATGTCTTCTCCCCCACCGCTCCGATACGTGCATTTTACGTTCCCGGATTCGCATAGACCCGTTCGTCCGTTTGTTTGTTCGTTCGTTCTGTCCCCCGCGTGCAGTGACTACCATTACGTTGGTTGTGGACTTGGCTTGCGTGGGCCCTGGCGGGGTAGATCGGAAAACTGCACATGATATGGCACATGAGGGGGCCTTATGTGCACTGCCGTACGATGCCGTGAGGAGCAGCAAAAATCTCGAGCGGAATCGATATGCCCGGGCCCTGCCGGAATGGTAGTAGTCCTGTATCGCATGTATTGGGGATTTAGGGGTGTACGGCGTACACGTTTCCGTACGTCCTTGGCGACAGCATAAGCCCTAGAAGTGTCACCAGCAAATATATGACCCCCGCCGGCTGAATCCGGGTGGCCGTACAACAGTACGAGAACGAGCAACTGAAGGACATTGTTTGGGTCGGGGTTGCGAAAGTGGAGTTACGGGCTCATCATCCCGCGGGCAGTTGATTCAGTTGGGGCCTCTAGGGACAACGGAAAAGGGGCCCTATGTGGCGCCGGGGCTCCTCGCCTCGATGCGCGTTGCAAGCGGCGGAATGTGGCGGCGTCTGAGTGACCCAGGTCGGGACATGTGCTTAGCTCAGCTTAGCTTAGCTCAGGCGGTGCAGCGGGGCTCCCAGAGGCACCATAAAGGCTGTGGCAGGGAGCAGCCAACGGCACCTCTTTCAGCCAGCCAGTCCGCAAGGGAGGGGGTGGATGACAGCCGTTGAGAATTATCTATAGCAGAGCGGCTTTCAAGTCCCCCCGGGCTGAGCTGAGTCGCCATCCGGTTCAGTGGGGGGGGGCACTGGTTTGGCTGTGCGTCTTGATGGGGGAGGGGGCTCCGCGACGGGGCCTGGGGGGAAGAGGGACTGGAGGGGAGCTGCGATGTGCGTTGACGGAGGGGAGTACTGCGGGGTGGGTGGGGGGGGTACATGGTACCAAGGGGGGGCAAAGAGGAGAAATGTTCGTTGTGCGCTGCTCGATTTGTCCCGCTGTTAGGTTTGTAGGTTAGGACGGTAAAGGGGGAGGCGGAGGGCTCCGGAGGAGCTGCGACATCCCCTTGTTATTGAAGAGGAGGGCTGAGATGGCGGTATGGGCCGGCGTGCAGAGGCCGGCAGAGACTGAGCTGTCCTGAGTGAGTGAGTGCCGCACCCTTGCTTGCTTGCTTGCGGGCTCCCCGACGACCCACGCAAGGGGAAGGGCGTGACGGGGTGGGTGCGTGACGGCCGGTTTCGCGTGTCCGAGTGTGTCGTACTTTTTCCCCACCCCCGCTCCCCCTCTGCCCTGAGTAGGGGATGGGATCGGGGATTTGCTTGGATCGTCCGCAGTGGGGTGTCGGAGGGCCGTCTGCCGCGTTGCGCCTCTTCCTCCTGCTCCTGCTCCTGGCCTTCCCAGGTCCAACACACGGTGAAAGGTACGACTGATATCAGTTGTGTCGGTTGGGCCTTCAGGGACGGCTCTCGGGACAGAATGGTGCTGCGGAGGGGCGTCGGAGACCTTTTGCAGGCTGGTGGTATGCGGGTTGAGTGTGCAGAATGCTCCGAAGCAAGGGGATATGTTGGTGGTGGGGAAGAGCAGGGGATTCTTGAAGTAGAATGTGCCAGAGTCCAATGCGGTAAGAGAAATAACTAAGCATCGCCGCACACACAGCAATATAATAATGACTGTATGTTAAGAGTTATTAAGAAATTATGTGGTAGATAAAATTGTGCCCCGCACGATGGATGGTTTCCCTTTCTTTTTTGGGGGCCATGGTTCTGTACGTCAGCATCTATGAACTGGATCTAACCTCCATTGCTCGTTAAACGTTTCTTAACTACCTTTTCCGTTGGGAAACACCCGTTGCACGCATGACGTTGACGACGGGTGGGAGATGTCCAGGCTTCCGGTTGCGCTTTCAAGCTGTCTTGTTACTGAGACATTTTTTAACCGAATGAACCAACTATGAATACTGGATAACAAGCAGGCGATAGATAGTCTTGACGGCTCAAGGACGTTTTAATCGTTGGGGATTGTTCGTACAGGTCTGCTATGGAATGCGAATACAGCGTTGCTGCAGGTGGGTAGGAGGGTTTCGGGGCTGAAGAGATGATGTGAATGGTGGAGGGCCCAGGGGCGGGAATCCGGCCCTGCCCTGGACGTGACGCGCGGGCGGTCCTCCGCGGCTGGGCCCCTATTCGCCGGTTCTTAGGCCTTGGGGTGCTAACACACATACATACGCACATCCACATGCGCGGCGCCCAAAGGATGCCGTGTGCGGTAGCGGTAGCGGTTATCGTCTTCCTTCTGGTCCAGGGGGATGTTGGCAGGGGCATTGAGAAACATGTGTGCGTTACTATATGTGTATTGTGTGTGTGTGTGTGCGTTGTCTTGGTGAGTGTAGCTTCACGCCGGGCCGAGTCCTAGAGGAACAGAAGGCGAAAACGTCTGCCGCTATGTGTGCATGAGCATGTGTGTGCGTGTTATTGTGGTGAGGGTTTGGTTCACCAGTCGCGGCCCCTAGGGTGTACCTCCCGGAGCGACTACCCTCCACAGCCTGCCGAGCTTACTTGCATTGTTGCTGCTGCGTCATTGTCCGTGACCATTCGCTGCACTCACTGCGTCGATCGTACGTGTCCGGGACGGGGCCCACTTGTGCTGCTTTGCGACGATGACGTCGACTGCTGTTCGGCTTGGTGGCGTGGGACTGCTGTTGCTGCTGCCCCTGCATGAGGACACGTGGAGTCGTGCACAGATATTAAATTGCACGTTGGCGAGATGCCTTTATCGGCTGGATAGCTACTGGCTGGGGAGTTGTTCCTTGCAGTCCGCCGTGATGTTGTCGGGCTTCCCGTGTAGTGAACCACACAGTTTTGCTGCTTCCACCTCGCGTGGGCGTTGCCTTGATGTCGCATTCCCTTGGTGTTTTGTTTAGTTCTATTAAGAGTGAACACGGAGGTTTCGGACCCAGTGCGCTTTTGTTGATGTTAGAACCCGGCTGAGGAAGTTAAGGGCACAGGAGTTCGTAAGAGCCCTGCAGGGTGCGCTGGGGAGACGCATGCATGCAGGAGTGCTGGTTCGTGGAAGTTTTTCTTCGTGTTTGTATATGATATGCATGTAAACAGTAATTGGTATGCATGTAAGCACTGATTGGTATACAGCAGGAATTGCCAGCTGCACCTTTTTCCGATGAGGCTCCACAAAGCATAGCATGCAGATAGAAGCAAAGTACTGCGATGCTTAGGCTGCGGATCGCGCCCTTGAGTTCTTACATAAAGAAGTTGACATGAATTTGAAAAGTAAGTAATGAGCACCTAAATCATACGATGATTGCGAGTTGAGGCCCAGCACGCAGAAGAAGCATGCTGTCATGGCTACACGCAAACCTTGACTGACTTGCCTCGTATGTTCGATCATTTGTGTAGTTAAGATAGGTTTCTACTTCGACCGATTGCCCTGTCACCACAATACAATAGAGGGTTCGTAACGTGACGCACAATGCCAATAAATCGGCAAAAGATATTTCAGCTTGCAAGCGGCTTCCGCGGCAGAGCTAGAAACTGTATCAAACTCGCCCGGCTGCAAGTGGAGAAAGCGCTTCAACACGCTTACGTGGGTCGCAAGCTCAAGAAGCGGCACTGGCGCTCGGTGTGGATTCAAAGAATCAATGCGGGGACGCGTGAGCATGGGGTGAGTAGTTTGGGGTTGAAAGCGACACGGTATCGCTTGTGTTGCCTTCCGGGGAAGGCTAACCCTTTGTTGCAAACCCGGCAGATGACGTACACGACGCTCATCACCAGACTCAAAGATGAGAACGTGCAACTGAACCGCAAAGTGCTTTCAGAGTTGGCGATGAACGAGCCGTACAGCTTCAAGGCGCTGGTGGAGCAAGTGCGGTTCATGCGTGGGACGCCGGGGGCGCCAAAGCAGTCGTAGCGGCCAGGTTGGTTTGCCGCAGTAGGCGACCTTCCATGTCGCCATGTTGGAAATGCGTGAGATGTCATTTGCGTTGTCATAGTCACAGGCGAGACGGATAGGCGGTTGGAGAAAGGAAGAGGGGATGAGAGGAAGGAGTACTTAATCGAGGAAGGGCAAGCGGGTTGACAAAGGCGGTGTAAGGGAGGGGCGTACAGACACACAAGTGGGGAAAGGCGTTGAGCGGAGGGAGCCTGGGGCCATCCGTTGACTTGTAGCCAGGGCGGCGATTATCCTGAATAGATTGCGTGAAGGCGTATCTTGTATAGCGCAGTTGTGAACAAGAGATCATGGCGCTGTCCTGCTCTCCTGGAGTCTCCGACATGATGCCTCGTGTAATACACACGTGTAAGACACATACCAATATAAAACACACTGCTGTTTTGGCTGTAGCAGACACTATCTACAGACTTAAGTGCATGAGCTGCAGCAATTCCTCTTGTTCACGGGACAGCGAGACAGGGTGAGAAGGTATTTTACAGTTATGCGGCTGTGAGGGGACAGGCGATTTTCTCTGCTCCCATCACATTGAACGTACATGCATACAGATGAAAGAAATACACAACTAAATACACAACGCAGCAGCAACTAAAAGCTTGACGTCTGCGGATGGCTGGAAGCCGCCATGCACACGTCATACCCTACCTTTTCATCTAACCTTAGATACAAAAGTAATAAGCCGAAGCGCGAAGAACAGTTATAGTAATAGCGGCTGCCCGGCAGAGAAGAGGATATTATATGTATATATAGAGAGAAGCCTGCCCACGCGAATGGCTCACGTTGCCTGCACTCGTAACCCTGCTAGCTCCCGGTTGGCGATCTGATGCAGCATGTGGCAACCTGGACATCAGGTTCGGGGCCGTTTTGAAAATACATAAAAGGCAAATTCGATCGCGACCGCGCTTCTACAGACAGACAAACTCATGAAACAAAGCAGCTTCGTCACCGAGGCACACCGCAAGTCAAAATCTTGACACGCATGCAGAGATCCTCTCCCGCGTGAACCTGATCTGAAATCCCCGCGCTGCAGTACATTGTCCTGAACCTGGCCACCGCGGATACACTCTCTGATTTACATACTGCGGGGCATTCCTCCTTAGGTAGGTAACAATAGCAAGCAACATTTTCTTTGGATGATCCCCATATAATGCCTGACACGTGCTTCCCATTAAAAACACAAACTCCTCTTCATTGACGTCACAATTGACCTCAAAGTACCTCACAAAAAACGATCTACCTGCTTTCCTTGCCCACACCAATCACTCACCAGTCACTGCACAACCCTGCGAGAGATATCCCCCCAGCCGCCAGCTGCACTTTCCCGGCCCGCACAGCGACATATCCAGCCACGGCTGGCATCTGGCAGCGGCTTAAAACCAATCCACAAGCAGCTCAGACCGGCAGCAGCAGTGATGGTGTACGCGGGGCGGATTTTTGTTCTAGTGCAGCATCCCTGTCCGAAGGGGAAAGAGCTCAAGCCCTGGCAACTGGCTTCTCCACGTCATCCTTACCATACGCGCCATCATCCTCTGGACCACACAAACCTGGCAGACCTCTTGCCTGCGTGACCTCGCCATCTCCGGGCAATATCCGCCATAACCAGCGACGCTGATCCACAAAACAGCGGAAGCAATGCAGCAGCGAAGCATTATGCCCACAACCGCCGTCGTGCGCCTGTCCTCACCCCTCCACAGCACATTCGCCTAGGCGTCGCCATTTCGGCGACGTTATTCCTACCCTTGACGACACAAATCCCTTCCCTGGATATGAAGATTAAGAAAGGGCCTCGGTCCCGCCGGACGGACATCTCTTGGGGACTTCCACCACCACATTCGTTCGAAGAGCGGCACTGGGTACACCAGGCGCCGCTCACTTTGCTGATCACCCCTAAGTTATGGCACACAGGAAACGCACACTTCTCCTTCCTTTCCCTCGCGGCACCCTAACCACCACCACCACTTTACCGCTAAGCCGCCGTGAAAATCCCTCCGCACGCGGCCTCACCCGCATCTCCTCTCCATTTGGCTCCCTGGTCCCCATTGATGAGAGACAGCCGTTGCTGACTTCCAGACCTCCAGAAGGAACACCGCCTCACAAGCATTTTCAAATTGGCCCCTCAAAATAGAGAATCGGACCTCAAATCGAAAGCATACGATACATTCCCTCCACACGTGAAACCTTTCAACTTGCCGCGCCCCATCCCATCCCAGCCTCTTTCCAAATCCTCTAGAACAGCCACATCCCCAAGGGGCCCACTAGCGCTACCACCTCTGGATTTCCAAAGCCCCCCCAAAACAGTGAAGTACTATATCTTATGTTATACTTGTGCTTCACACGGGGCACACACCCCGGTCCGGTGTTCCATGGAGATCTGAGCCGCGGGGTGGGAACACATGACGACGGCACACGCGTGTGTCAGCTCCACACACAACACACCTACAAAGTCTCCGCCCCCAGACGGCCTCCCACCGACTTTCCGTCCACCACCAAAAAGATACACTCGGCATCACGTCGAAGGGTCCAAGCCGCGCTGGCAAACGGGGCAGCACGCCTTCGTCCTCAGCCAAGTATCCACGCAGTCGCCGTGGAAATCGTGCAAACATGGCAACCGCTTCAGGACGTCCCCCGGCGCAATCTCCTCCATGCAAATGATACACGTGGAGGGAACGCCGTCGCTCCGTCGGCGGCCCTCCGCGCCCACCACCTCGGTCGGCAGCGCTGCCAGCTGCTCGTCCTTGGCGCCCTTGCGGTTTTCCACCTGCTCGTCCAAACGGCACAATAGCTCGTAGTCCTCCGGCGTGAAGTCACGATCCGACAGCAGCAGGTGGGCTGGAATGCCCGCGCGCTGAGCTGCCAGGATCTGCTCGCGCATGGCCAGGGCATGCTCGCGGTAGGCAGCGGCAGCAGCGTGGCGGCCGCGGCGGTGGGCGCCTGGAAGGCGGGAAGGCGCCAGTGGCGGCGGTGGGATCAACAAGTGCACGCGGCTTAACATCCTATTGGGGCAAGAAGGCTGACCAGACGGAGCTACCACCCCTTAGGAGGTTCAAGCCTAAGGATAGAGTCCGGGGGGGTTTCGCAAGCCCTGGCGCATTATGCATTGCTGTTGGCAGTCTCTAGACTGGTTATAGCCCCCTACATGTTCGCTGTCTCGAATGGTTCCCGCACACGGGTGGACCGACGTACCTACGGTCACAACAATGTGACCACAATGCTTAAGCACTAGAAATAGCTACGAAGAACTACCGCATCTAGCTACGTTCCAGCAGCTTGCCATGATGCACATCCCTGCGGCCCATCCACTGCGGCGACAGCGGCTGCCGTTGCGGTTGTAGCGGCACCCTAAAGTCAGGTCAGGCGCCCACGAGGCACACACGCACTGCCACCACCGCACTCGCGCACACACCTGAATTCTCGTCCGCATCACCGCGACCCCCCACAATGCGGTGGAGCCCAAACGGCAGCGCCATCAGGGGGATCACGTCATGGAGACTCCGGCCGCCCCATCGCGATCGATTGCCGCCGCCGCCGCCACCGGGCCCGGCGGCCGCAACCGCCGCAGCCGCCGCGGCCGCAATCGCGGATTCTGCCTCCTCCGCTGCTGCTGCAGTCGCGGCCAGCTCCGCGGTATCTAGAACGTTCGTACCAACACCCCCAAACAGCGCCATGGAGCCCATGGGGCCCACGGCACCCCCACCCAAATGCCCGCGGACGGGGCGAGGCGGAAGCGCTCGCCAGGAGGCCACGACGTCCAGATGACCTCCAACGCCGCCTCCGCCAGCGCCGAGCGCCATATCAGGCGCCAAGCCACCTCCAAAGCGGTCCAGACGCTCAGCCCGGCGAGATGCGCGCTCGCGTTCAGCCGCCGCCACCATGGCAGAAGCACGATGCGCCGCTGCCATCGCCGCCTCCGCGGCCAAGCTCGCGTTCTCCATGGTCTCCAGCATGTCCAGTCGACTCTGGAGGTCGAGTGGAGATACAGATCCGCATACAGGGGCGATACGGGGAGCCACACATACACGCCACGATGGCGTTAGAGCCACACCGTAAGGAATCAGGGGGTAAGGAGGGCGTAGTTTCGAACGGAAAGGCATGCGAGCAGGATAACAGACAACGGTGAAGTGGGATTTGGTAGCGGAACGACTAACGGCACTGCACCAATCGCTACACTTGTCCTGCGGGACCCACTGCAGCAGGTGGGTGGTGGTGGTGGTGGTGATATCTGTCTTAGCACTCTGGGGGAGGGGGTTCCCGCGTGTAAGAGCCAGTGTGTGTGCTGGGGGCCGCCGCCGCGAGCGCACACATCAATCGCCGCTCGCCACACCACACGGCTTACGACCCACCCAACGGGCCGCGAGTGCTGCGGCGGCGGTCTCGCTGCTCTCTGCATAAATGCCACCGCCGCCGCTGCGGCCCGCATCCGACCCCGTGGTGGGGGCTGCGCTGCCGCGGGCGCCAGCGTCGCGTGCACGTAGCCATGGCTGCCACGGCGCACCGGGGCCCGCACTGGCCGCGGCCGGGGCGGCTGCAGCCCTACCCCCATCCTGGGCGCCGCTCCGAAGGCCCTCCTGTGCATCACGACGCATCAGAATGCAGGCCGGACCGCCGGCGAAGGTACGCTGCCGAGCCAGTACGTGTACGTACGTACATACATATATACATATATACAAGCGCTCGTGTGGCGAAATCACTGCAGGCTGTTGCGAGGCACAGGTGCATAAGACGGACGGACGCCGCAGCCCGCGGAGCACCTCCTGGCCTGCCATGGCCAATCACGCAACATTCCTCCAACCCTTGTGTAACACATCATCCCGTCAACACAGTAGGGACATACAGGCGTACATGGCCCGGCACATGCCTCCTCAACTTCTCAACACTATCGTACACCATTCATGCACCACCAAAACAACACCACACAGGCGCATCCAAGCCACCGCAGGCACAAGAGGCTCCCACCCCATCAACGCAACACTGTCAACGACCCAGCCAAGCAAACCCCCTTGCAAATGAACGACCAGAACTTTCAACACAAGACCCACCATCATGCGGCGGTGCTCTTCGTGCTCCAGACGATGAACCGTCTCCCGCGCCAGCCGCTCGTCTTCCTCCGCCTGCAGCCTTGCCGCCAGCCTCATGTCGTCGTCATGGTAGTTCACCCCACCCTGCGGCGGCTGAAAGGGTCCTGTTGCTTGCTGCTGCTGCTGCTCCGGTTGTGGCACAGACTGCTGTTGCAAGTGGTGGTACGGCGGTTGCAGCTGGAATTGCTGTTGAGAAGTAGCCTGGCTGGAGCCCACCTGGGCATCACTGCGCGGTGCAGCAAAGCGAAGGGGCCTCCGGGTGACGCGCTGGGGACCAACAGGCACAACAGCTGTCCGGCGTGGCCTGAGCTGTTGTTGCTGTTGTTGTTGCTGCTGCTGCAAATGGATATGCAGACGGAGCTGGGGATCTTCCATGCCCTCCAGGCCTTGCCTGCCTTGCTGCTGCTGATGATGATGAACCCGATTGCTGACGCTTGCGATCATGCGCGAGGAGGAGCCATCGACAGTTGCTCCAACCCTTAGACAGCGTAGAAGGGCATGAGGCAGGCGGGGCCCGGTGAACACAACATCCGGGTCCGAGCGCAACCAGGGAACAAAGAGGGCGTGACCCAGCAGAAAGCCTAAGCGTCACGCAGATTTAAGTTTGAAGTAGTTTTGTGCCCGCCATTTTTAGAGAGACGGGGATTTATACAACCGAAAAGGTCTATGCACAGCGTTGTGGGAAACGTCACAATGACGATTACCTTCTCGTTCGCCGGGTTAGTGCGTCCCGCTAACATCCTTCGACACCGCCTTACCTAGAGGGCAAAGATACGTTAGAGGGACTGTCTTCTGCACCTTCTGCGCCCGGCACTTGCTGACGAACCAAACCAGGAATGTGACGCAACAGGTTTGCGCGCGCCAACGGACTGTCCTCCTCGTCCTCATCATCAATTACAATAGGCCTCGTACTCAGATTAACTCGCGGCTGTGGTGGAATGGCCAGTCGACGGTAGCGTGCTGACGGTGGCCGATAGACAGGCATGGGCCGAGGGGCACCCTGGTCTTCCAACGCACCCCATTGTGTAGGCATCCTTGGATGGCGCTCTCCCACCTGAGCAGGTGTAAGAAATGTCAGTAGAGTTAACAACGACCTCTGAAGTTCCCAGCATGGAGATGCAACCCACAGCACCTGCACCGTTTGGTCCCTTGGCCGTGGATTTGACGAAGGAGAGTCGTCTACGTTGTTGGGGGGGGGCAGCGAAAGCAAGAATCAGCATAGAACCGCGACAGGGCAAAGGTTGCTTCTGCCCTTTAGGGCTGAGGACACCGCCCCAGGGAAGGAAAAGTCTCTAGGTCATAAATTTGAAGTATAGCGCATATTTACAAGCATTAACAGAGAAGAATTTGCGGGGTCTCACTTCAAGCCCTTCAAGTCCCCTCCTTATGCTCACCGTCGGAGTCGATCAAATTAAGCACCTTGTGCTCCAGACGCTCAGGTCTGATGCGCTTTGTCGGCCGACGAGGTGTATCGTCGCACAAATTCACCAACTCTGCTGCTGTCTCACTCATCGTGTCTGACAGCACCTAGCAGCTTTCCAGTTATGTATCTTTTACAGCTTCATATACGAGCTGTAAATTGCCAATTTCCAGCTTTGTAGTGCACTTCAATGTAGTTTGAGCACTTATGTCTAGGCCGGCAACGACATATACGGCAACCCCCAAGACGGGCAAGACCGGTAACGTTGATGTGCTCGATAAAAAAAGTGCCTCAAGTTCTGCTAGGAGCTAGGGTTGCGCCTATGCAAGTAGTTTGTTGAGTTCAGGGCCATAGTGCACACATGTTGCCAGAATCAGGAAAATAGGCTACAATCACCTAGTCCAGCCTACACAAGAATTATGAAAATTAAGGCTGCTATAATCCTAGACTTGCCTAGGCAAAGCATGTGATAGTCTCCCTTGGGCTGGTCCAAGACTTTGTCCGAGAGTGCGGCCGGAAACGGCTAGACCCATTAACTGCCACAAGCATCAACCTAACCTATCACCCAGCCGCCAGCTCATATGACCAGTCCTAATAAAAGAAACCGTCCAATACCCGTTACACCTGAGCCGACCGTCCCATGGGTCACTTCAAACGTCTCTTCCAATTCATCCTGGCATGATGCCGCGCGAAACATGGCAACGAACTATCTACTCGCACTACTATCCGTGCTGGCGCCTATGCTGCAGTATCTGTGGAGGTGTCATCTCAGCCTCGAGTCCACATATCGGGCACTTGTACGGCCGAGCGGTTGCAGGAGGCGGCTCTACCGCGGGAACCCTAAGGGCCTCCTGGCGACCCCCCGACCCCCCGCCGCCACCGGCCGCGACGGCGCCGCCGCTATCCTCATTAGTCCTCGTCCCCACGACTACTACAGCTGCAGCTGCTGCATCCATGCTCGTTCCGACCCCCCCGGGGGGCGCCCCCGGGGTCCCCGGCCGATGTTGCTGCCACGCCGCGGCGCCACCAAGGGCTTCTGTCCCCAGGTACGGCATCCCGCCGCCGCTGCCGCCAGCACCCATTTCCTCCCGCCGTGAGCTCCTTGCAGTGCCAGCACCACCACCACCACCACCACCACCACCGCTGCTGCGGCCGCGGCTGCCGTGCTCGGTGCCCAGCGGTGCCGCCGCCGCCAGCGCCACTGCCGCCCGGCGCCTGCACCAGGTCACAGCACTTCCCATGTAGCGGTCCAGCCTCTCCACAGCGTCAGCTGCGGCAACAGGTTCGCCACCGCTGCCGCCACCGGTGCTACCACCACCACCACCACCACCGTACTCCTCGCACCTCCCTCCGTATCCACCTCCGCCACCAGCCGGCGTCGCCGCTGCACCAGCCGCCGCCACCGCCAGCGGTCCGTCATCGACATCTCCTGCGGTATCGCCACCGCTGGCATCACAGCCGACGGCGCGGCCCCGCGGCCGACCCGTGGGTCCGCCAGCCCCGCCTCCACCTGCGGCCGCCTGCGCGTAGCCCAGATTCTCCACTGCCTGAGGGTCGACCCCCTGAACCGCCTCGCATGCAATAACGTGATCCCGCACCTCACTGAATGTGCCCACCAGCCGCAACCCGCACCCGGGGCACAGCCACGGCTTTCGGAGAGCGGGCTGTAGCGCATGGAGCGCCATGGCGGATTCAAACGAGCGAAGGCTGCCGTACCTGACGGGGGGGGCACAGGGGCGGTTGCAGGAGGCGACGTGCGATGCTGCACATCATGTTTGGCTGCATGGCATGCACGGCCTCCAAGTGCACATGCAGTGACCCCCTCGAGCATGGATGCAATTATGAATGCTAATTGTCATGAAGTGAAGCGCGGAGGACTGCTGCTGTGTTTCCCCTAGTACTTCCACAGCGCATTGTCGCATACGGGTCTCTGGGGCTCTAACGTGCTTCGTGTCAAGTGCAGGGGGGATGATACAACACGCCTCGCTCCGCAGATTGAGGAGGACAAGACGTGTCACCATTTCGGCAAGTGGGGACCGTACCGGAGCCAGGGCGTTAGCCACATGCCGCCGCACTTGTACGGCACTCCTAACGGATCAGTTTCCACTCCCGTAGCCGTTGCGCCGCTGGGCCCGGCCGCTGGTGCCGCAGCGCCCTCTGTCAACTGCTGATGCTGTCGTACATCTGCAGGAGCTTCGCCAGGTTCAGACCGTTTGCCGTGCGGTTGTTGCAGTTGCGGTTGTAGGTTATTGATCAGGAACTGGGCGGTTACCTTGTTGCCCGGCGGCAACCGCTCTACGGAGTACCTGGCAAGTCGAACCACCGCCAGTCAGCACAGGGGCACATGGTGACGTGGCAGGGTGCCAGCTACCTTGCTTTGCAGCTTCAAAGAGCTTAAAGAGGATTACCATAAGACACACAGACATCAGTCAGCACATGTGGACTCCTTGGACGCCTCACACACACCCCATCGAGTCCCACCCCGCGCTTTCCCCTCCCGGGAGCCTTCCAGGGGCCACCAGGGGCCAGCAACGGCATTTGGTTTGGCAGCGTGAGCGCCTTTGGAAAGGTGCTCTAGGAGGACAGTTCCACGTGCTGCTCCCTTCAGCTCATGTCGCGAATCTGGGAAAGTCAGCCGTCGCTATCGCCATAGGGCCCTACACGAGCCCCACCACCACAACCGCCATTACGCACACTAGGCACCTGTCCCTCCGCGCACCTGCACGGCCACATATCCAAAGACAACCGCCGGGCAAGCTGCTCTTCCAGCTGAGCGTCCGCGGCCGCGGCCGCTTTGCCGTACATATGCTCGTCCTCGTCTTCATCCTCATCGTCCACATTGTCGCGCTCCTGGCCGCCGCCTGCTGCCCGGAGGGCCGCCATCTGACGCCGCCGCTGCCGCTCCTCCTGCCGCCCCCGCCGCGCCGCTGCCTCCTGCCGCCACGTTGCCTGCTGTGCCATCACGCCGTACAGCAGCGGCTGTAGCTCCTCGGGCAGCGCCGCCGCCAGGGCCGAGTAGCCCCGCTGGAATGACCCCGACCCGGCGGCGGCGGCGGCGGTAATACCGTCTTTGACGCCGTCGCCGGCGTCGTCATCGCCATCATCCTCGACAATTTGTACGGCAGAGAGCGCCGCCAGCTTGGCATCTCTCAGTCGGCTTGCGACGAGGTGCTCGGTGGTGCCTCGTAGCTCCGTAACCAGCTGCAGGACCTGCGCGTTTTTCATTGGGGGGCCGCCCGAGCTGCTCAGATAGAAGTGGTGGAGCAAGTTACCCGCCTTTTGACGTCACCCCGCGAAGGGGAGGGGGACTAGGAGGCGAGTAGGAAGGGGAGGGCGGGGAGGAGGAGAGGAGGGTCTGCCTAGTAGTCTTATCGGTCGCGTTGAGCTCCTGTGCGGCTCATCACTTCATCACCGTGAACTCCATTCCAATCATTGATTATGGTCACCCGAAAGGTGGCTTTGTTCGGCTGCTACCCTCCCACACTTTCTATGCCCTGCTCGCCGCCCTGGCCACAGCCCACCGCCGCCCTGGCCCCAGCCCCCCGCCGCCCTGCCCACAGCCCCCCGCCGCCCTGGCCCCAGCCCCCAGCCGCCCTGCCTTGGGCCCCCCGCCGTCGTGTATCCTCAGCAGCAGCCAGCCATCCACCAGCCAGCGAGCGGCCGCAGCATCGCAGTCCAGCCGCCGCGCCACCAGCAGCAGCGCGGGAAGGGACCACAGCGGGGTCACCCCGGAGAGGTACTGCCGCCTGACCAGACCGGGGGGGAGGACCAGGGGGTGAAGGCGGGAGGAAAACACGTACATACATACGAGACATACATACATGCAGAAATGCTGTCATTGCCCTACGTCTAAACCCTAATGTCCCCCCCGTGGGTTTTAGGAGGTGGGTAGCGGCGGCATTGTAGGTGGGTGGTTGTGTGCGTGTGGCATCATACACGCCGGCAGCAGCCCAGCGATGGATGACTTGCCAAAGGCCCAACCTCGTGTCCTAAGGACAACACGCGTGCCTTACAAGTCCCGTACAACGTACGGCTCTCCTTTTCCACACGTCAAATGGTAGCCTATAACTATATGCCCCGGTACATGATGCACGAGATGATGGGGCTTATCATGACTTAGAACCCGCACCACCACCACCGCCACCACCACTACCACCATCACGAGGTGTCCACATGCGGGCCGTCCAGTCACACACTCCACCTCCACTTCCAGACCCCCACAGCCCGTAATGGACTAGCTGTGTGTGTTGGGGGAAAGGGGAGCTGCTCTTGCCACTGTAGATCCGGAGGGCCTTATATGTAGGGTCCCACGTCCTCACCTGGTTTCAATCAGCTCCGTGTACAGCAGCACCTGGCCCCGCGGGATGTTGTTGGAAAAGCCGAACAGAGTGGAGCCCGGGTGGAGCACCAGATCTGACACCTACTAGCAGGCAAAAGGGTCGTGGGGAGGAGCGGGACTTCGGGAAACAGACAGACGGACAGACAGACAGGCTGGCTGGCTGGCTGGCTGGCTGGCTGACAGAGAGACAGACAGGTAAAACAAGAACATGTATCTCCCGCCGAGGGGATGACGGACGGGGAGCCGCCAGAGCTCTCCCACAAAATACACAGAGGCTAGAGTCTCGACTCACTAGGCCGTTCCCCAAAATCCCCCCGTCCAACCCGTTCCAAATCCAGACCGCATGTACGGTGTTGTGTACGGCTATTCATACCTGCGACGTGTGGAAGCGGCAGTCCTGCTCTCGGCGCTGCAAATTGGCCTCGTCCCCAACCGCCAACCGGGGGTAGAGGCTGGCGACCAGCAGGTGCCGCAGCAAACCCAGATCACCCGGACTCAGTGGCCGGGAGGACTCTGCAAAGTGCACGACAACGGAGGATAGCGGCTGCAGTGACCCGTGGGTCCATTATTCCGATCCTAGTCAATGCAGGGCAGTCGCATAGACTCGTATGCAACAAGCAATAAAACAACGTATTGAAGGTCATGTTCCCCTTTGTTTCCCCTCTCGGCCCCCCTGGAGACCACCGGACTGCCTTTCCACACACACGTGCGTGTCGGGTACCTCGGCTCGGGTCCATTGATCCCCTCCGCCACCTTAACACCCCACCATCACCATCCAATCGGCGCCTTGCGTGTGTCCCACCCATTGCCCCTTCCTTCCTCACCCTTACATCCAACAACGCAAACTGCCGCCAGCTGCTCGCTGTGTCTAGGAACACCTAAACTGTTTGCGTATACAACAGGGCGGCTCTCCCTGGTTCGTGAAAGGGAACCCGAAGAGCATCTTTTGGGGCATTCACGTGTCATTAACTTTGCTTCCATCCACAAGACAGGAGGAGTCCAAAATCTAATGGACGACTATAATGTTGCTCGTTAAGGAGTTAGAAAGGGGGGAAGAGAGGACACCGGCGACCCACCTGCCGCCATGGCCCCCACATTCACGTGCACTCGTAAGTCCAAGTCGTGCAGACGCTCCAGCTCCTCCTCTCCAGAAGTGCCGGAGGATGAAGAGGAAGACGAAGACCCGGAAGAGCCATCTAAGCCGTTACCGCCGCTGCCCGCGCCTTGCTTGCGCCGACCGCCGGCCCCACTGCCCTCGAGCCGCAGCACCTTCCGACCCCGCTGACGCTCACGCTCCGCCTGCTCTCGAGCCCGCCAAAAGATGGGGTCAGGGGGCAGTTAAGGGTCATCAACACCGCACACACACGCACACGCTTACTCATGGAGGTGTTTCCATATCTGCGGTCACCAGTATCATGCGGCACATAATACCTGCGGCTGGCGGTAGCAAGCAGCCCCAGTGAAACCCCCCATGCAAATGCAAGTGCTTCCAGATAGGAAAGCGCGCTTGAGTCCCCCAGTCTGCATGGACCAGTACCAGTACCCGTACCTGCATGTCCCGCAGCCGACGCTTCGCGGCGTGCAGCTCGGCGCCTCCCAGACCACCTCTCAGACCGTCCCGCCGCCTACCGCCGCAGCGATGGCCGTGGCGGCGGCGGTGCTGCGACATGGCGGCGTATCCCGCAGACAGCACGGTGGCCCCGCCAGGCCTATTCAGGGAGGGGGTGGAGTGCACGGGCTAAAACACACAGCAATCAGCAGCACCTGACGGCGGTGGTGAAGTAGAGGAAGCCGCCCACGGGAGCAAGCAGCAGCTGTCCAGGGCCGCCTACCGCCGCCAGCTCGGATGTGTGGAACGCGGAGAGGTGTGGTGGTCCCGGAAGTGGGGGGAGAATGAGAATACCCATCTCCATTTTCAGACGGAGCCATTACCAGTCGTGCGACTCGGAGTGCGGGTTGTCCCCTCTTCAGGTGCGAGGTCTGTGCCGATGTGTAACTGCAACAAGCCCCGTGTTGTGCAACTTCCCCAACTGCCCTCCAGGCCCCTCCGCACTCGAGAGCACGGAGACCCACCTGAAGATACCGGCGTCCGCCAGCAACTCCGCAAACTGCGCTCTGAGCTTAGCCATCTCATACAGCCGAGCCTCCGCCAGTCCGTGCCGCCTGTACGGCATCAGTGCAAGGAAAGCACATACATACATCAGGACACACCTCGACCCATCAACCCCAGCACCCACGCGGGACAGGTCAGCGACCCTGGCAGCCCTTAAGACGCTACATGGCGCTATCAACCCGGCCTGGCTCGAAGCTGCAAGAGCAGTGGAAACCCAACAGCAACAGCAACCCCAGCCGCAGGCACAGCTGCAGCCACAGCTGCAGCCACAGCCACAGCCGCAGCCACAGCCGCAGCCACAGCCGCAGCCGCAGCCACAGCCGCAGCCACAGCCGCAGCCACAGCCGCAGCCACAGCCGCAGCCACAGCCGCAGCCACAGCCGCAGCCACAGCCGCAGCTACAGCCGCAGCCTCAGCCGCAGCCACAGCCGCAGGTACAGCCACAACAGCTGCAAACACAACCACAGCTACAGACACAGCATCAGCCGCAGCCGCAACAGCAGCAACAGCCGCAGCAACAGCTACAGACGCAGCCGCATGAGCAGCAACCCCAACAGCAGCAGCCAGAGAGGCCAACGGCGGGGGATATGGCGGCTCCAAGCACCCCCAACAGCACTCAGGCGATGGCTATGATCCTAAAGCGGGTCGGATGGCAGATGCCGGGCGGCACAACAACCGTCCCACTCACACGCCTGACGGTCCGCCTAGCGACACAGCTGCAATGCGGGGCC